GAACTAGTCATACATATCATGCATCTATCCTAAATACTTCCGAGGTACATGCATGTGATCACATGTAGTCTATGTGAAAGACAAAATTAAAAAACAACAAAATAACTACGCATATTCAGCGATTATTCACACTAGGTAGCTCAAAAGTGAATAAGTGTAATCATATGTAAGTGTACATGAGAGGAACATTAAAAAAAAAAACAGCAAACTAACTTTTGATGCACATTATCCATCTATCCTAGGTAGTTTCGAAATACTTACATGTGATCGACTTAGTCTAAGTGAAACAAATATAAAAAAACAACAAATTAACTACTCATACATGTCATACATTTATCCTAAGTAGTTATGAGGTACATACATGTGATCACATCTAGTATAGGTGTGAGAAGTGTGAGAGAAACAAAAAAACTACTTATTCATTTACATCACTTATCGATCATATATAATTTCGAAGTAGATATATGTGATTAAATATAGTATTGGTGAGAATAACATAAGAAAAAGGACCCACTAACCGGACATATACATCAAGTGTTTATCCTAGGTAGTTATGCAGTACGTGCGTGTATGTACGTCTATGTGAGATAAACATTAGAAAAACAACAAACTAACTACTCATATACAGTACACATTTATCCTAGGTAGTTCCGAAGTGTATATGTTTCATTAAATCTAGTTAAGTTAGGAAAATCATAGGAAGAACAACAAACTAACTACTAATACATATCATGCATCCGTACTAAGAAGTTCCGAAGTATGTACATGTAGAAGAAAAAGAAAAAAAACTACTCGTATACATCACACGTACGTCCTAAGTAGTTACGAAGTAAAATGATTTCTACTCTTCCAATTTTGCATCACAAAAGTAATTTTGCTAACCATTGTACAATCACAAAGTTTTTTCTACAACTAAAGCATAAACATGTTTTTGTGCCATCATAGAAACATAATCTGATTTATTAAAATAAGGCAAAGCTTGTAGATAGGTTTTAATATTTAATTAATTTTTATATACCTCTCTATATGGTTCTGCAACTATAACACATTAACAGTAAACATACACGAAGAGGCTACAAAATAGAAAAAATATAACTCACAATGCACAAGTCACCTTTCTAACATAGTCGGAAGTACAAAGTACAACACATTTATAGTAAACATGTGTAAACAAGTAAGAAAACATAAATAACATAACTTTAAATGCACTAATTGCCTACCTATTAAACATGTAGAAACTGTAATACATTTATCGGGAAAAAAACATGTAAAAAATATGAAAAAAATATGAAGAACAAAACTTACAATCCAGTAATCGCTTACCTAGTATAATATGAAGTACAAAGTAGAGCACATCAATATTGAACATGCACAAAGAAGTGAGAAAACATTAAGAACACAATTCACAATGCACTAATCACCTACTTAGTATAATTCGAAATACAAAGTATAATACATCTATAGTGAACATGAAAAACACAACTTACAATGCATTAATCACCTACCTAGTATATTCCAAAGTACAAAGTAAAACATATGTATAGTGGAAATGCACATAGGAGTAAGAAAATATGAAGAACACAACTCATTATGCATGAATCACCGGCGTAATATAGTCCAAAATAGAAAGTAAAGCACATCTATAGTGGATATGCATAAATAAATTATAAAGCATTGAAAACGTTTTTCATAATGCACTAATAAACTACCTAGTTTAAATCTCAAGTAAAAAGTACAACACGTATATAGTGAACATGCACAAAGGAGTGATAAAATANGTTTTTCATAATGCACTAATAAACTACCTAGTTTAAATCTCAAGTAAAAAGTACAACACGTATATAGTGAACATGCACAAAGGAGTGATAAAATATGAAAAACACAACTCTCAATTACCAACTAAGCTACCTAATGTAATATAGAGTATGAATTTACCAATTCATGGAATAAAACTTAAAATTATGATACTTTACAGAAGGAAGAAAAAAAAAGAANCTAAGCTACCTAATGTAATATAGAGTATGAATTTACCAATTCATGGAATAAAACTTAAAATTATGATACTTTACAGAAGGAAGAAAAAAAAAGAAATAAAAAGAAGAAAAACAACAACAAAAAATAAAAGAGGAAGAAGAAAAACTTCTCCCCTCTTGTGGCATTGATGATGTTCAATCTCCCCTTGCAGTTCACTCTCTTCCTCCCGTCTTTCCTTTCGACCTCCACCTTTCCTGGGAGGGTTATGACTTCCTTTCATATCGCTAGAATTCCCAATGTCTCTCCTTCTTTCCACTAATGTGATGCTTCATCTTTTTCTGTTTGTCAAGAACCCCCTCCTCCTAGGATTGCTTAGTGTGCCACTTTACCTTCTCCTGTTTCTAAAGATCCTCCTCCTCCCAGGATTGCTCAGTCTTCGGCTTCGTTTCCCTGACCATAGTGACTCTCTTACCTTACTTATAAAAACCACCTGTCTAGAGGGTTTATGGAACTCCCTCTAACATTTCTCTACCTCTCACGACCTCAAGGGGTATGGCGGAGCCTCGTCTTAGGCTAACGTCATTCCCTACCACCCTCCTAGCATGTGCTAATGCTCTCCTCGCTCTTTCTAGCCTCTGAAGAACTGTGTTGGACCTCTACTTGCTCCATTTGCTTTATGGTTCATCCACTAGCTGTTTGGACATTTGCACTTTGGTTGCTTTATGGTTCATCAACTAGCTTTTTGGACAACGTGTAAACATACAACATAAATTTTCTTGACACGCAACTTCGGTTGATTGATAGTTTAACTGTAAAATTTTTCGTTTAAATCAATATCTTTCAGTCTAAATCTATACATTTCAGTTGTACTATCACCATTTTTATAAAAATTCGACTAAAAAAACTAGTGAAATTAAAAGTCTGGGATTTGGATTGAAAAGGTTGGATAGACTAACATTTCAAATTATGACCGAAAATTCAACTTAATTTGGTTTGATATTACATTGAAATTACCGAATTTGGATTGACCTTCTATATAAGCTATACTGCATTTAAATTGAAATCTAACTAAAATTATTTAATTTAAACTGAAATTCATATGAAAGTTTAACACTGCGTTGCACGCCGTTCGCGGTGAACGCGAACACGTTCGCCCGGACGTGTTCGGGCTTTAAAAAATGGCGAACGTGATTTTTTTTTTTTTGGGGGGGGGCGGTGGGGGAGGTGTGTCGGGGGGAATAGGCCTGTGTCCCGGAAACCCCCCCACTGCTCCGAGATGCATATAAGGCTCTGTAGAGCCCCCGTGTGTGTGTAGATCCACAACTTCCCCTATTCCACCCAGATGAGTAGATCCAAAGTCATAGCAACTTTACCTGTATTGCAGACAACGAAGCATGCTCAAGATAAGCCAATCCACCATTGAAACGGTTTTGTTTGTGAAGTCAATGCCCGTTCAGAACCTTACCTGTGTGTGTGTGTGTGTGTGTCCGTRTGTGTGTGTGTGTGTGTGTGGCAGACAACAGTCTGGCCTGCGTTGCACATTGCGAAATGAATGTTTGGTTGGGCGCTGATCCTTGATTTGTACTTCTATTGTGCGTTGGTCTGCCCTGTTTCCCAAGCCCCGGTGTGCCTACAGTCCCATATGGTACTTGCTGACTGGACTAGGGGAGACTGGGACTGGGTACTACACAGATACTGTACACAGGTAAGGGGAAGGACTAGGGATCGAGCCCTGGGACTTGCATCTGCTACTGCAACGTGGAATCCGTTTCAGGGGCATCCTGGCGAGACTGTCAGGGTTCAACCTCATGAGAAGTCGGTCACAGTCCGACGAAACAGTCTGGCACGGTTATGCTTTTTTGAGTGTACGGCGAATATGACAACACACACACACACACACACACACACGGGGGCGTATGACTGTGCCAGACTGTTGAACCCCAACAGTCTGGCACAGTCATGCGCCCCCGTCTGTGTGTGTGTGTGTGTGTGTGTGTGTGTGTGTGTGTGTGTGTGTGTGTGTTATAAAATATCACCACACACACACACACAGACACACACACACACACACACACA